CCATTGAAAGCTAAACATGGAAATTCAGGAGCGGGGGGGAGCAGAAAGCCACCTGCAGTTTTGAAAAGATGAGGAAAAGCGGGAGTGGTGGGTTCAGTGACCTGTCTGAGAAGGGGCATATAGCTCAGTATGGAGTTCTGGGCCAGAGCTACATGTGACAGGACACGAGTACCACAGCCAGCACGGGAAACGTTTCGTTTCTTGGCAAGCGGGATCTGCAAATCCATGTCCCCCAGTGCTTCATCCTGCTGATTTCTGCTGGAGTTTGTCATAATTATTGGGAGCAACAGACATCTGCTTGCTTCTGTGGAAGTTGCTACGGCTACTGGTGGGCTGATTGATGTGTGGTTACCACCAGAGAGCAGCCTGAGTGGCAGCAGCTGACCTTCTTAGGAGCATCTGTATTGCTCCTCACCTTCCCTCTGGCTTTTGCTGTGACCTTTGGATACAAATCGATCCCAGATTAGTGTTTGTTAACAATAAATACCCTAAAATTAGGATACAAGTAGACAAGTTTTGAAAAGGTTAGACAAGCTTGGGGCAAGTTAGTACAAGGCTCTTCTTCCCATACTGGCAGTTGGTCTGTGTGGTCTATTTTCCAAGAGTATTTTCCAGTCCTATTACCTACAATTCCAGAGCCAAACTAGTTGGACAGCCCAAGGATGGAGGAGCTGTGGTGTGGCACCTGTGCCTTCTCAGCTGGTCTGCACAATGCGTGATATAGTCCAAGAAATGGACTGTAACTTATTTTTCTGGGCACTCCTCGAGGTATTGATGAAACCAGTATTTTGCCAAGCAAGGATGGATAAATGCATCCAGCTGTACTGCACTGGCTTCAGTTTGTAAGTGGTATGCAAGGTTTTTCATTTTCCCTTGGCGTGGGGAGGACAATATAACTGTTCAGTTGCAAACTTCAGGCTGTACAAATACATCAGTGTGCTTATGAATTCTATTCGTGTTATGGAAGCTGTAGGTCGTGTAACAATAAATTTGTACCTAGACATTGCACCCAGCCATGTAGGAAAGCCCATAGCGACCACCACCGATCATCAACTATGAACTGCTTAAATAAAAACTTTGATCCATATCATCAAAGGTATTTTGTGCATCTTTGCAGCGACTTCAAGTGTGCCGTAACAAAAAGAAGCTCGGAGGGGAAAATTAACTGTGTCATGGGTGATATAAAGCTGCATCAGTACCTATAAAGTGCCCTAGCAATACAGGAGAATTGAAGTAATGAACAGAAATGCTCATTTAGAGCTTTTTCCATATTTTATGTTAATCATTAGGGTAGAGCTGAAATTAGCTTTAATTGATATTACAGGTTGAAAAATGAATCCTCTGGAGAATGAGTCTCTTTAACCTTTAATGATGCAGTAAATAAAATATCCTGTCAACATTTGTGCAACAGTAAGGGTTTTCAAAATTCCATATCTGTACAGTGAGCGATTCAATATGCCTAATTCTCTCCATTACAGCAGATAAAGGTGATGTCAGTGCATAAACTCAGCTACAGGTTTTCCACGTTTCCAAGCTATCTGTCATACCCTGGTAATACCCCGCGCTGGCTTGTTGCTTCTAAAGGGGTGATGGAGAGAGGAGGCGGGACTGTGAGAACTAAACAAATTCTGCACGCTGGCTCTCATTTGGGCACCTTCGGCCTGTGGTCTTCGGATGCCAGCGTATCAAGGGAGAAACTGTGCCTCTGTAGAGAGTAAGGTAAAAGGAGCAATGCTGCCTATTCTTTCTTCTTCCAGGTGAAATATGCCTGAAAATGTTTCATTTTTCACTTTAAAGGCAAGGCAGAATTGCAAAAGACTTCAATGCTTTAGGGACACTTAGTTTGGTAATAGCCAGACCATTCTTCTATCTGTCAGGGCTCAGCCTACTATCGAAACACCTAACAACTGACTTGAAGCCCATGAAATATTCCTCTGCTGTAAGCAAGAAAACTGTTTTTCATAAAATCCATTTGATCGTTGCAATCAACTGGAAGTATCACATCATTTAGGCAAGTTACTGTAACATTGATGGTTGCTCTGCTATAGTTAACTGAGAAACAGAAAACAAATCTCCCCACTTATAGCCACCTTTGTCTTTCATCAGGACTGATGCTACAACAGTTCTCCTATCATGGGGTGTACATCTCCTTCCCAGCAAACCTTTCCGTATTAAGGGGAATATATTTCTGCATACTCATATAAGAAGTCTCAGAGTGGTGCTAGAGTTGTAACAGGGTGTGAGTCTGTGGGGCTTGCACAGCGGCTTGACAATAACCTCCCCGAGACATGGTTGTGAAGTCTTTGAGAAAAGCATATTTTGGTTTATTTTAATGCTGATGTAACATGAGTTTTCTTAATTATTTTTTCCTTCTTACTGTGTGGGAGGAGTTAGGGGAGGAAGTGAAACAGAATTTTCCCCAAAATTGCTTTCTACCTTGTACTGTGCTTAGAAGATCTTTCCTCTGACAAAGACCGGGCTATCCTGGGACAGTACAATGTCCCAGGCCTGCCACGGATGTGTTGAAACAGTTAAAGGGATCAGCAAGGTCTAGATAAAGTAAATATGTTTTATCAGTGCAAACATCTGAAAGTTGGGTTAAGCAGTGATATGTCTGGTTTCAAGAGGAAACAGCCAGAGCAGTGAGAACAAGTCTGATGGTCCTGGTACCTGTGCACTCAGGGTCCTGGCCAAGTCACATCCGTTTCGGAGGGATGGCCAGCGAAGCAATGCAGAGTGCTGGGAATGATGGAGGCAGCCCTTATAAGCAAAGCAATTTTATGGACTTAAGACACAGAGGATCTAATTTTCTTCTAGAAGACTCATTACCATGATTTTGTAACGTATTATTTATGGGCTGTTATGATAGTCCTGGCAGGTCATAATTGGCTGAAGCCAGAGAATTAGTCACATTTTTCACATTTGGAAGAATGATCTGTACAGTTACTCTAATGACTTCATTCCTGGAGATGCCACATGCCGGGCAGGGTCTGCCTGTCTTGGGGTATGGCTGGATTAACCCTTTCTGGTTCTGAGCACCACGCAAAGGTGCTTGATTTTGTTCGTGAGAGATCAACATGACTTTTCTTTACCTCAAAGCAGCTGTTTGGCATGTGACTTGCTGCTTTCACAGTGGCTTCCTCTTTCTTTTCCTTTCTTGAGTCTGGAGTTAGTTTTGCTTAGCACTACTTTCCTATGGGGAAAATGTATTTTTTAAAATAGTCTGGCAATGCAGGGGCATTGCACTCCCCATCAGAGCTACTGCAGCATCGTTAGAGCAGGAAGACAGGCTCAGCTCTTCCACTGTTGTTTTTTAACCCCTGGTGAGAGATGAGCAACAGTTTAAACTGAGGAAGGGTCTTATTGGCAGCTCTTCTAACTATGCCTTGCTGTGTACATAGCGAAACCCAAACAATTATTCACAGATGATGAATCAGAAGGGAGCACTATAATTGGTCTATCTGCCTTTTGGGACAGCACAAGCTGCTTTAGAGCAACGTTTACCAGGCTCTAATTCAAGAGTATCTTCCTGAAAAATGGACAGCTTTGATCTGGGGATTTCCAGTAATCAGGAATCCTCTGCACTGTTGGCTGACCAGTCCCAAACCCTTTAATTGTCATTATTAAAGAATAGACATGAATTCTTGAATAAACTTGTATTATATTGGACTGCAGCATTTTGGTTGTTGTCTGCTAAAGAGCAGAGCATGTGGCTACAGGACAAAATTAGACCATGATCTAGAAAATACTATGTTGGAGTGAAAGATGCCAGGAGAAAGTTAAGTGATAACTTGAAATGGTTTGCAGCTCTTCTAAAAAGGTCTCCCATTTCACTAGCATCCTTCTTGGTTTGTAGGTGTCAGGGCCAGCACAATTCACTGGGGTTAACTGACATGTGAAATTCAGATCTGGGAGAACCTCCCCCCCACTTTTTGATATTCCCTCTTTGTATGGCCAGGGATAGCATAAGTCCTTAGGCCAAAGCATCACACTGGTGGCAGGACCAGCCCAGAAAGCTCAAGCTGTGGACTACTCCGGAGCAGTTCAAGAGCAAAGCATCCTGCAGCAGTTTAACATCCTGCCATGGGCAATGTGTAACCCATCCGTGTCCCTGGGAGGCAAGGATCAGCTACAAGCAGTGTCTAGATGGCTTCTCCAGGAGCAATGGCCCTCCTGCAGTGCTGTTCACCACCTCCTACGAGCTGATCCTGCTGCTCTCCGCAATCCACCCTCTGTCTCTCCAGTGCGGAAAAGGGTTGGCCAGTGCTGAACTGAAGGCAACCTCTTAATCAAACTAAGAGGTGGGAGTTATAGTGTTTGTAAAATACTGTACAAATGGGAGGGTTTGATCGCATTAAATGAAGGATCAGATTCATTAAATTAAGTGGAAAGCAACGTACATGGATAATTTCAAGGGCTGAGGCTGAATACGGTTTTTAAATGGGAAGTGATCAGCCGCTATACACAACACAGAGCAGCTCTCGAACATTTTTAATGACAGTATTTGTACACACTTTAGTTTAATTAACACATGGCACAAAAGAGGTTTGGTAACTAGGATGTAGTTTCACACCAGTCGTCTCAATTATAACACATGAAATTTCAGGCATCAATACACCAAGAGCGTCACCCGTCCCTGCCCAGCAAGGTGTGGTGATTTGAATTCCCATCACATCTTGTTTCTCTTGGATGCAACAGTAATTCCTTCTCTCCACATGGAGAAGTCACCTTCGAAGTAAGAGGATGATCAGCTTCTCATTTGGATTTATTTTTTGTTTTCTGCAATCAGAATTAAGGGAGCTGTGTATTGTCACTGCCCAGTGATCCACAATAAGTTTCTGACAGCTATGTTTATTAGTAAGTATGTAGTAATTGCTTCCAGAATTAACTAGAGCTGCTCTCCTGTGTCTGTACATGTAGGAGAGGTCTCCTGCGACGCGTGATCCCTTTGTTAGCCCGGCACTCGTTAGATGGAGTATTGCTGCAGAGGTGGCTGGGTTCTATGCCTCTGCGGGTGCAGTGTTGGTCCGGGGGACCAACTTCAGAATAATCGGTTTCTCTGGTCTTAAGAGTCCCTGTGAAGACAGCTTGAGAGGGATCTGCAACAATAAGAGGAAAAACACACTTGGAGATAGACAAATTAAATAAGTAGAGATTAAAGGAAAGAAACTTGGCCGCAGCTGGGACAGAACTTGGTCTGTAGTGCCTGAAGGTGCACGTCCCCTGACAGTGCAAAGCATCTGGTGTCAGCACCCGTGGCGAGAAACCAGGCACCCAGCTCTTCGCCTGCGAGCTTCCGAATGTAATGTGCTCCTCACCTGAGTTTCTTTGCAGGTCTGGAAGGTGAAATGTTGCAATAGGATGGTGATGGCAACTTTCAGAGTCAGGAGAGCAAACCGCATCCCAATGCAGTTCCTGGGACCAGCTCCAAAGGGCAAGTATGTGTATGGGTCTATGGATTCTTTGTTTTCCTTACTGAACCTGGATAATGACATGGTTGGGGAAAAGAAATGAAGGCAGCAAAAAACCAAAAAGCTACATATCTTTATTACTCATCCAGAGATTTCTTGGTGCCCTACAGACTTGCTTGGCTTTTTCACTAACCTATCCCAGTGTATCCCAGCAATCGAGTGCAGTGTCACAGCCCTTGTCCAGGACAGGGTGGGATCCCGCTTGAATTTGCTTTTAATTCTGTCCATCCACACTACTAGAAGTTGGAAAGAAGGTGAAAATCTAACCAACATGCCCTCCCAAAGTGCTTGATATTTCTTGTCTGTTGTATTTAGTGAGAGTGAGAGAGACCAGGAGTCGTTTTGGATAGGAGCAGCCTATAGCTTCAGTGTTCTTGGTAATGAGAGGTAGATACCAATTAAAAACTATCAACTGGAGAAAGTTATCGCTTCCTTGAAAACAAGGAGGGAATCAGCTCTCTTGTATTTTTGCTGGCAAAGCCTGGGTGAAGGAAAAGGGTTCAGCAATGAAGGTTATACAGAAGGATGGCTAGCAGTTAGAAAAACTCACCAACTACCCCCTCTGTCAGCAAGCCTAAAAACTGTGTACAAGATGTTGTGAGGTATCAGTGTTACTCTCCCAGCAAGATTACGTTGTTTGAAAGCCTGCTTTAAGTGCAAAGCTCATTTTTGTCTTAAAATGACATTCCCATGAGCCTGCAATTTCTCATTGGTATTGTTTGTAAAAAGATAGGAAGAACACCATTAGGAAGCTAATCAGAGATTAATACTTAATTACTGCGTGAGGAAAAAGCAGCGTGATATTTCCTCCCTTTCATTATGCTTTTTGTACCTTTCTGGTCTGAACTCTTCTGGGTTTGTCCAGTACTCAGGGTCGCGGTGCAGGATATAGGGTGGGATCATGACAACAGTTCCTTTGGGAATGGTCACTCCATTTATTTCTACATCTTTCTTGCAGGTTCTCTCAAGCCGTCCTCCAAGGGGATAGAGCCGAAGGGTTTCACTCACTGTCATGTCAAGATATTCCAACTGCATCATCACTTCGTATGTGAGAGGAGCCTGTAGTACAACAGGAGAAGAGTGGCCAGGTATGTTGGCATGAGGATGGGATTGTCCTAAAAATGACAGCTGAGACCAGTGTCCCCAGTCCCTAGTATGATTCAGACTCCCTGGAGAACAAAATGCAAGGTATAAATTGCATAATTGGTTTCATTTTCCATCCCTGAGTGATGGAAATGCCTGGAAATCCACATCTACTCGCACATGGGTGCGGAGTATGGCAAAGGGGTTTGTGCTATGGGGTGGTCTGGAAGGCTTTGGCTGGCAAAAGAAAATTGCTACAGGGCTGAGTTGTCTGAGTGTGTGTCTTGGAGCTCATGGAGAATCCCAGGAGAAGGGTGTTTAGGAGCTAAAGATTTCTCATTGTCTTGTCTGGACAAGTCAGAGGGTCTTTGCCATCATTCAATGTCCCCTTACCTTGTTGGGTAAGATGGTGTCGATTTCCTCCAGCAGTTTTTGCTGCACGTCGGGATGCAAGGCCAGTTCATACGCCAGGTAACCAAGCGTGTTGCTGGTGGGCTCGTACCCAGCAAATATAAAGATCAGTGCTTGCGACAGAACCTCTGTGTCGGACAGGGCTGTGAAGACAGGGTGTGGGGAGATGAGCAAAACTGGTGTTGGCTGACGGTCTCAGCAAGGAACAGGGAGCAACAGGTGGGCTTGAGGCAGGTTTGAGGTGGGTTTTGGGTAACACATTTATAGCTACTGTGCTATCTGTCTGGAAAAAGTAATTTGATAGAGGAGCCAGATGATTTTCTGGGTATAAATGATTGGCATGGCATTCCTAGTCCAGGGCAAAGGACCTGGGGAATTCCCTTTATCCTGGTGCTGGCAGCAAGAAGCAGAGATTTCTCCCTGGAGATGGATAGTGGAGACGGTGGTGACCCACTGAGCCTTCCTCTGGAAAGCAGATCGCCTCGCTCCCACAGCCCCTGTTCCCATGATGTGCATTTGGATATTGTTACCTTTATGAGAGTGATTCACATCGTTGCTGCCAGGACTGGCTGAGTTCTGGGATTCGATCATCAGCTGCAGAAAATCTACTCTGCCCTGAGAAGAAAAACAGGAGAGTTTCTTTGGTGACAGGTCCCATGGAGGGCTCAGATAATCAGGTTTCACAGCCTAACTTTCAAACCAAAAGCATCCCCAAAATGCACGTGACTTCCTTAGTGAAAACCATAACATTTGCTTTTTATTTTGGAAACCTACCTGTCTTATTTGTGGAGCCATTGGGTGGGAAAGCAGTGTCTTGAATGAGTTTTAGGCAAGGGATCCAAACTCTAAAAAGGAGACTTCTGCTGGGAAGCAGCTTCACTTTTCAAAAAGTGAGAGGGGAAGGTGCAACCCTGCAAGGTGGTATCGCTGCTCTCGTGGTGCTTCCTCTGCTCTCTCTCATCCTCTGCCTAATCTTCAGGGAGTGTCTTACTATGACTTATTATAAGTTTTGCAAACCCAAGTTTAGCCCAATTGTCCCAAGCCTTTATCTGGATTTAGCTTCAGATCATGGATGTACACTTGTTTCTCTGCCAGGACTGGTCAGGAGAGGATTTTCGGAGAGTATTAAAATCAGGTGTTTACACTTAAGTAGACTGAGGGTGTTCTAGAGTTACTGTACTTTGCTTTCAACCTTGACAGCACCCTAACTATATTTCACTTAAGTTTATTTTCTGCCACAATTGACAGTAAATTCATGCTTGCTTACCTTGTGAGTTTCCTTTTCACGGTCTTGCTTAATTTTGGAGATGGATCTCATGAAGAAATCTACAGCATCACTGGGGAAGAAGCTCACATTCATCTTGGCCAAAAGAGGAATAACGAATGGGCACACAACTGAAAAAAAAAGAAAATTCAGAATAAAAGTGCACCCTGTAATCAAACTCCACCTGATATAAGATCGCTGTGGATGTTCCTGAGGAAGTAATAATGCTACTGATAAAATTTCTTTTCTCAATTTCTTTACCTGGGAAAAGTCTGGACTTTTGCCTTTTTTTCCCTTTCTCGTTCCCTTGAGATGGTTTGTCTTCATGCAACTCTCTCCCTAGTTTTTGTTGGATCATAGAATCACAGACTGGTTTGGGTTGGAAGGGATCTTAAGGACCATCTAGTTCCAACCCCCCTGCCATGGGCAGGGAAACCTTCTACAGACTCCTTCAGGTACTGGAAGGTTCTATAAGGTCTCCCCAGAGCCTTCTCTTCTCCAGGCTGAACACGCCCAACTCTCTCAGCCTTTCATCACAGGAGACATGCTCCAGCCCTCTGATGGGCACAGCTGAGCTGGGTATAATCTCTGCTTTGAGCAATGATCAAAGATTATGCCATCTTCTTTTTCTGAGGCACTGTTTTGCAAGGACAAGTTACTTCTCTACACTGTAGAGCACTAAACAGGGTTGTGGCTCACAAGAAAAACAGTGCAAATTCTGAATTCTCTTTTCAGGCTGAACTATGCACTGCCATGTGTTGCTCATAAACACTTTTGAAGTCCTCTTCAGAGCATTTACTTTATCCCAGAGGCTGGATCTTGAGCTTATGTGTAGATTCATAACATCCACAGCACCAGAACCCCCTCTATGCACAGATCACAACTTCCCCCATGTTTTAGCGAGGTATCTAATCTGATTTAAGGTGGTAAGTGATTTAAGATCCATCAACACCACTGCTAAGCTATTGCACTGCTAGGAAGTTGCATCTAATTACCATCCCCACTCAGCACTCTCTTCTAGAAAATTCATTTCAGATAGCACCACTCTCTGCAAGCCTCACAGCTGAACTTGCTTTTCAACCCTCAGATCATTTTCCAGCACTTATTGGGATATGTTTCTTCCATTGTGGGTGCCAAGGGTAGAGGAAGCTTTTTCATCCACTTCCTTCCCAGAGTTTTATCACGAGGCCAATGATGAGACAAGATGTCAGTGAAGGTATCTAAGCAATAGTTGATTGGTTAATATTTAGGATGCAGTAGTTTGATATGCTTGCTGAAGTCACACTTCAGTAGTACTGACACCTGAATGCAGTTTTCAACAACAGTTACTTACATATCAGGATGAAGAGTGGGTCAAAAAAGTCAAATTTGACCAGTTTCTGCATCTCTCTGACAAAGGGGTCTTTGGGGTTGTTCATGGAGTCAATGTTGACACCGAATGAAGTGCTGGTGACAACGTCCATGCTGTAGCTTCCAAAGATGCTGGGGAAAGATGGAAAAGATAGACTGTGATTAAATATTTGGACCAAGTGAATGTATTTGTTTCCTAATGCCTATGTGACATTAAATATAAAGTCTCATAAGACCTCCTGCCCTGGCTTTGAAAAGGAAATTGGATATATGGTAACTGAAAAGCACTTCTAGTGAAAGGGATATAATTTTTTAGAGAGCTTTGGTCTCAAGTCTGTGTGGGTTTTGAAATCTGGCAGCTTTTCTCAGGATTTTAGAACAGCATGTAGCTACATGAATGGGTTAGTGCAAGGATGGCATGTGGCTTTTGAGCATTTCCCCCTTCTTGGGGAGGGATGGCAACACACCTTGCTTCGAACAAGCCATGAAAATGGTCTTGTTCAACCCAGCACAGCCCTACTGTATTACAAACTGTCCAAGCCGTCTCTTTATGGGTTTTGGGTTTTTTTTTTTTGGTAGAGGAGAGCTTTGCTGGTGTGTGACTACTGGTGTGCAGCTGCCCCTTCAGCTGTGCTTTGAAATTGGGAGTCAAATACACAGATTTTGTTCCAGAGCCCATATGGAGGGCAGAGATGAGGCTGATACCTGGGGCCACATCACAGCCTCCCTTCACACTCCCCCCAGCGATAGATGAGCACACACAGTGCTCTGTGTGGGGAAAAGGGGCCAGCAGCCCCAGTGTCCTGCAATATATGAAGCTGAGGCACAAAGATCCTGAGTATATGCAAAGAAAACTGGATTTTCCTGGTGGTTTTTACAGTTATCTTGTATCTGTGGATTCATGAAGCTGTTCTGGAGCATTGTTCTGCCCATGGAATTCTCTTCAGAAGGTTTCTCTCTGGGTCTCTGCCTCTAGGAGGTTTCACTAATGTCCCAACTTAAATTTTCCCTTTCACATTTCCAGCCAGGCTTTCCACTAGTCCCATTCCTCATTTCAGACGTCTGGTTTACCCAGCGAGTGATCTGCAATGCCCATAACAAATGAACCACGGCACTTGTTAGCAGGGTTTGCTGCTTAGCCTGCTGCTCCCAACAGCTACTTACTCCTTTACAGATATAGCGTTGTCCTTTTCTACTCGCTTTTGAACGTTTTTCACCAAAACTTCCCCATAGTGCTTCATTATAGGGAACATCTGTAACAAACCAGAGATGGTCAGTTAAGTATAGTACATTTCACTACTTTAAGATAGGCTTACAAAGGCTACAGGGAATTTCATGAATATTTACAAATAAGATCTTTCTACTAAGGTTTTATTTTAAGCCCTTTTGGTATTAAATTAGGCATAAATTACACAGATCAGCTTGTTGCCAGGCTATGACTAAAGAAATCAGACCCCTGTGACCATCTCAGCCTGAAAACAGTATCTACTGACTCTCTGATTTAGTTTGTACCTGCTCCTCTGTGTTTTACCTCCTTTAGTTTCCCAGTGGTGAAGGTTGGCGAGAGCACAGTACGAATCCTTTTCCACTGTTCATCTTCAGCTAATGAGATGGCGTCGGTCAGTGCCCCTGCTAGATCTACATGCTAGAGGGGGGGAAAGGCAAGGTGTTAACCCCAGAAAAGATAGTGGCTTTCTTGCAAGGATGGGGATGTAGCATGCAAGTCCCTGCCCAGGCTGTTTCAGGGGCATATTACTACTGGCAGCAGGCTAAGGCCTTACAAACAAAACAGCCTCTCTCAAGGCACACACACATAAACAATCCCTTTTCCTGCAGTAAACCAGCTGTGGGATGCCACTTCCATACCCAGAACAAGTGAGCCAACAAGCCCAGCACCTGTATGTATGTTACCTATCCATGCCACCCAGAGCCTGCATCCCACCTTGGTGGCACCTGTGCTAGCTGGACCCTTACAGACTCCTGTGTGGTCACACACACTCAAATTCATCCATATAGATATATACACATAGGTGTGAGAGCAGAATTTGTCTGATGTGCAGGCAAAGAGCTTCCTCTGCCAGCCTGGGTATGCAGTCCCCAGGCTGTAAGGCAGGGGAACAGTGACATACAGTGGCCACTTACAGCAATCCCTACAGTGCAGTCATGTCCCCTATGGAAACCCTGCTATATGCTTGGCATGCCTGTCTCCTCCTGCATTTTGTTTTCTGGACTCGGTGGTACATCATGATGCTTCTGCTCTTACCCTCCGGTTGGTAAAGGTGGAGTAACACTCTTTAACCAGTACAGATTTAATGATCTGGGGGTCCATGATACCCAGCACAGGTTGCCTGCCGTCGTAAATCCTGGTGGGAGGAGAAGAGGAGACAGATAAACAACCCCAGGTAGTCGAAGTGCAAAGCTTTGCTGATGCCCGTGAAACAAGGTGTGTTAAACACGCTCCTCCATCACCAGCCTTGCTGTTCTGCAGATGTCTAAGTGCAGAAAGTAGAGATGGAAGAGGACTCCCAGGCATCCTCCCATTTGGTTTGGTGAATGATAAAGGGGGCTAAACACCTTCCAAATTCACTAGGAAATGAGCAGGGCTCGGTCCCTCAAAGGACCAGATACTAAATGAAGCAAGTGTCTTCACTTTCTCCCCTGACTCTCTGTGTTTTTCCAGGCACTTAAACACATTACAGTATTAGAAGGAAACTTGTTCGACCCCTTTCAGGCTCTTGAATTGGGTGTCTGGAGAACTAGGGCTGACAGCACTGAAATATCCTTGGAGATGAAACTCAATCCTTGTTTTTGTCTTTTTAAGCTGCTAGTTCTGAATGCTTTCCTGGAACAGATGTAGATTAAGAGGATTTATGTACTTTCCTCATTTATGTAAAGATACCATTTCCAGACTCCATTTTTTAAAGTTGCTGTAGGGACCAGTGAATGCATTATAGAGGATATGCAGGTTTTTAGCTAAGTTATAAGAGCAGCAATAAAAGCTGTAAGAGAAGTCCAGAGCAGAGCAACACTAGCTGCACTAGCTCCTACCGCAGTAGGTAAAGGATCGGTAGCATGAGGAAGTTGGCAGACTTTGGATCTGCTTCTCTACTTAATACTGGGAGTCACTCACATTCTTCTGCTTTCGTAAACCAGAGGAACCTGCCCTCTGGGTTTCAGATTCTCCTTAAGTAAATAGTAGTTTTGCTCCTGATCTTTGTTATAAGCATGTGAAGACCTTTTGTTCCCAGCTTTAAAACAGCTTTCATGGTATAGGTCAAAGCAATTTCCATGCAGTGTGACAGCAGCACGGCCCTGCAATCATCAGGCGTTAATGTAAGCCACCACGAGCACCTTACTGGGGCTGTACTCCTCGTGTTGGGACCATCAAGCCCACAGGTAGAGAAAATGGAGGTTTCCTAATGATTTTTTTTTCTCCCTTTTGTATGGATTCTGGTTCTACCTTAAGGAGGTCAGTGGTTCATACTCACCCCCAGACTCTCCCATATTTCTGGAAACATTCATTGTCAAACTCCAAGAAACCCTGTGGAAAGCAATTTAAAAATGAACTCAGAGAGGATGGAGCAGAGGGGATGATGTTGGAGATGGTGGGTCGGGAGGGTTATCTGTAAACTGACGTTCAGAGCTGCCTTCTGATTCCTCCTCTCCCAAACCATCATGAAGGACAGCATAAATGTCTATCGTGATTGTGAACGAGCTGTTAGCCAGGACCCTGGCAAAGGGCAGCTGTAAATCAGCCACCCAGGAGTGCTCTTCTGGAGATGCTGTAAAAGCAGGGCTCTGTGGTCTGTGTTACCAAGCCCTTATCCTGCGCTGGCCTTTGCTCAACCTGCGCATTAGAGCGGAGCTTGGCATTTGGAGATAACTTATCATCGCTGTGTATCTGTTTAGCTACAGCTTTATGAGCAAAGGCAGATATTTCTGGAGCTCGGAAAGCTTCAATCACTTACTTTGCGATATTCCAGGCACGTCCCAAAGAAAGGCAGAGGTCTTGGCCCAGGAATACCCAACTTCTTGAACAAACCAAATGGCCAGATCCCGTACCTGCGGGACAGAAAAGACAACACAGTGCTACATCACCGTGGCACTGGGGCTGCAAGCTCTCCTAAACTTGGAGACTGCAGCCCTTTGGCTCTAAGTAGTAGAGAAGGTTGGTCTGGGAGCCTGAAAAAAGTGGTCCAGAAGAAAATTGCCCTGTAAAAACTACTTAATAAACATGGTAAGGCTCACTGCTGCCACACAGAGCTTCAGAGAGATCACTTTGATGTAAAACCAGCCGTCTCCTAAAGGCATAGGTGCTCCAGTGGGTACAGGACCTTAAAGCCTTTAGCAAAAGTCAAAAGAGGAGCTCATTGCCAACCAAGGGAGAGGCAGAAAAAGAGAGCTGGAAGAAGGAATACCAAGCTTACATATTTTTATTGAAAAGAAATCAAAGCCGTGCCAGAAGTGATGTCCCAAGCAGGGTTTTTGTCAAGCTGCACTTTAATTTCATTTATTGTTCTCCCTCCCCTTAGCCCGGCGCTAACTCAGTGGTGCATCAGGAAATCTTGTCTTGATGGTTTTCTCTTTAGATTTTATTGACAGCTTTGCACATTTCTTTCCTCTGAAGCACCCTTTTTGGCGGCTGTAAAGTTATTACTTCTACCTCGGGGCCTTCTGTTTCTCAATAAGGTCTGGGCTGCAGCCCTTTGAAGCTTGTCTTTGGCTGTGTTGAAAGAGCTCCTCAAAATATTTGGTTTCAGTTAGTAACTGCAGCTTTTTTTATTGCAGAAGGGATGTAAAACTGCAAAGGTTTGGCAGAGGAATGTTACAGAGATTCTCTTCGGGCTGCATGACAGCGGCCTCTCAGCCAGCATCTTCTGGATGCTTTCCTGAAAAGCTGAAGTTTAGGCTGAGATATGGGGGGGGTTCCATTGCAATTAGTAATACTCTTCTAAATCTGGGGAACCCCAAATGAGGTCAACCTGTGCTGGGAGGAATCTACCAGATCATGAAAGTGGACCTCATTAATGGTCTGAACCATGAGCAAAAAGCAGGGAAACTGGGGTGTTTGCAAGTGCAGAAAGGTTTCACAGAACTCTCATTGTCAACGTTTAACCTTTTCTCTCAAAGGTTAATTTGGTACCAGGTATAGAATGTTTGCAGATTCTTACGTGTCGTGTTTATGGGCAGCTGGGGTTGCAGGAGGACCAGGAAATGCCAGGCTGGGCTGGTTACAAAGCCCAGAAACACTATAGGAACATAGGCTAGGCTTAATCCACTTGAAACACGGCCAGGAAAACACGGTCTAATGCTCTTACGACTAAAACGTGACACGGTTTATGCAGGCTGAGAAGGACCATTCAGTGTAAAGCCAGAGAATAATCATTGCTTCTCACCATGGATGTGAACCAGAAATGCCTGGTACTCCCTCATGTGTGAACTGGAGCAGCATTGCCCCAGATGGACGAGAAGCATCTTAACAACCTCCCTGTGTTAACGGGCAGTGGAACTTCTATTTTAGCTCAGAAATCAGAGCACAAAGTTCTGGGCTTCATTCCTTTTGCCACAACAAAATTGCAAGTGGTTGCAGAAGGTGGGAGTGTGGGAACCAGCAACCTTAGATGGCCACAGAAATTTGAAATATGAGGTTTAGATCAATAATGGGGATTTTGGGGGGGGGTGTGGTGGTGGTGGTGGTGAAGAGTCTGCCCCAAACAGGTTTTTGAGTGATCCAAATCACAGGAAAGGGTTCAAAAAAAAAAAAGAGAGGTGGAGGGGGGGAGCTAAAAGTTTTAGAGCTTACTGAACTGCCATGGTTGGAGCCTTGCCAGGGCAGACAAATGGATTGTGCCTGTGTGCACCACATTAATCATTAAGGTTTATGGCTAGTAACATGCTGTCTCTGCCTAAGGGCTTGAACAATACAGAGTTTGCCAGTCCAGCCTTGTTGGCAGGGGCTGCCAGCAGAGATGCTGCATGTCCCAGAAGAAGGGGGTTTTCAGCCAGCCCTGCTACACTGCAGTGCTGATCAGCATCAGCAAAGTGCGCAAAAGCATTTTCTCACTAGCACAGCTCCTGTGAAGCAGCGGGGTGCACTTCTGTCTGATGGAGTTTGTCTGAAAAGCCAAGAGCAGAGAGCTGACCTTGCTCTGGGCTTCATTTCTTCCCCCAGCAAAGGTGGGCTGTGGCAGTGGGCATGGGTTGCTGTCCCTGCAGGCATGTGGGAAATCTGATTTCCACAATGTATCCCTCCTGATCCAAGTGCCTGTGCATGGAGAATCTTACCTGGGCACTACAGCAGGAGTCAGGAGGGGTAAGAACTGATCCTATGAATGCTCTTTCTGCTGCTCTCCACCTTTGCAGGTCATGCAGTTGGGTCACTTGCTGCCTGCTCCCCTCCATAGGGCATCCTCAGCCAGGGAGGCATAGCATTCTTTAGATGTAGTTCTGAGGAAAACAACCTAACAGATCACGATCCTTGCTGATGGCAGCACCCTGCTGGCAAAGAATGCCTGGCACCTTTATTATTTGATTATTGCTTTGATGCTTAGCAGCCAGATCTTAACGGTACACGGGAATATTCCAAACCTTGGAGGAAGATCACGTGTCTGTACAGTCCTTAGATTTTTCTGCTGCTTCCCAAAGCCTCATTAGAGGCTGGAAATCACACCTACCTGTTTGCTCTTTTGCATGAAAACAAACAACAGCAAGAATAGGAAAGTGGCGTGAGCAAAGAAGCAGTAAAGAATATTTTACTCACGCTACCACGAGGGCTACAAAAATGAGCAAAAGGGCCCAGGTCTCCGTAGAGAAGGAGGGAAGAAGGTTCATCTTGGTTCTTCTCTGGTTGGCTTTGAGTTCTGTCTTGATGTGTTTGTTCTAGGTCTGCCTGAAATAGGAACATTTCCCAGTGCGCAATCTTTTGCGTCCAATCGTATGATTTAGGGGCTGTCCTTCTGCTGTGAAGGAGGAGGAGTGGAAGGCAAAGGTAGCAAAGTATGCTAATCTGAAAAACATGATTCACGCGATAGATAAATGCCTGACTGAACTGTCTAAGGGTCAGATTATTTAATACAAACATTGCCAGGCTTTTCAGTTTCTCTGTAATAGTAAGTGATAACTGACTTCTTACTGGGTAATGCTCCTGGGCTCCTACACCAAAATAAGTAAAACGTAGTTGAAAAGAAAAGGTAAATCCCAAAGCAGGTGTCAGCATTGGTTTAGAAGTGAAAAGGTTATTTGTATATTTTATGACAAGATCTTTTCTGGCAGCTGAATTAACTTTGGCAGAATTTAAGATTTTGTTTAAAATATCTTTTTTTCTGTATGTGTTGTGGAGCAGGCACTGCCTGCTTCTGGCTGTGGTGGGTCAGAAGCAGCTTCTAACAGAGGCAGGAATTTGCCCTCTATAAAGACTTTAGAAGTCCACCTTGTTTGCTGGCTTGTGGCCAGGAGTTTTGTCAGAGAAATACTGTCATTCCACGACTGCAAGCAGTTAAAAGTACCACCACTTCCAAAACACCAGCTCATAAATAAAACCGGCACCTGTCTTTCCACATCAGTTGGCAAAAAGACACAAGCCAAGGGAAAACGCAAATGTTGTAGTGGTTCTCCCGCAAGGATGGTGCAGAAAAGAGACAGTATCCTAGTGCAAAGAGAAGATTATGATGGTGGAGGAAAATGGGCTATTTGGATGGTGTGTGTTAGTGGCCATCATGTTAGGGCAGGAGGCTATATGGCTTGCACAGAGGTGTACTACAGCATCTTTAGGGCTTCACTCAAAACTTTCAAATAAGCAATTCCCTTCCTATTGACAGAGCTTCTGTCTTCAAAAGGGAGTTTACTGGCTGCGTTGGGTACAAATAACAGGGTGTGATAAATATTTAGCACATCAAATGCTTCATGTCACCCAGGATGTTGCTGTGATTGATGCTGGGTTGAGTGATAAGAGGGTTTCAGTCCACACGGGTGATCCGAGACATACTCGGAGAGTCATCATCTGACTTGCCTCAGCAGCATTTGTATCTCATTTCACCTTTGCCTGGCCTTTGCTCTGTCCTTCAGAGACAACTAAATTGCAGATTATTTTGTAATAACCAGAGTCTACTTTAGTTTGACATGAACAGGCAAATTCATGACATGGTTATACAAGCCTGTGTCGGGTCCTACCTTGCATGATTCAGAGATGTTGAAAGAGTATGCGATTAAATAGGTGCTTTCCTGTTCAGGAACTTGTCACAGCAGTGATTGTTTTTCCAGGGTTCCTCTTTGCACGCTTTGACATAGCCTTGAAATCTGAATTTATTGGGCATCGAATGTTCCTGACTCACCATTTTGGGAAACAAGTTAATACAGTTTATTCATGAAATAGGATTGCTGTAGGTGTCTCCATCCTCAGTAACAATAAACCTCAATCCTTGTCCTATTTGAGTAATTTTTAAGGGTAAAAATAGTCTCTGGAAAAAATTGTAAAAAAAACCAAAAAAAAAGAGATAGGTGCAGTCTTGTTACTGGCTTTGCACTAGGGTCTTATGATCTCTGCCAAATGGGCTGTGCCTATTGATTTCAAACAAACAGAACCCTACCGCCCCCTTGAGAAAGCTGATAGATAATGAACCAATTAAAAAAAAAAAAGAAATCTTGTGATTAATCCATGCCAGAGGAAAGCCAGTGACCCTGGAATGAATGGTTGACTTTCACATCACCTGTAAGTCCAGCTCAGCGCTGGGTTTATGCCCTAACTTGCCCTATATTAAAACTGTAAAACTCCAACTCTAGGCTGCAGTCTCCCCTAAGCTGCTAGAAGACTTCTCTGTGGGAGGGAGGAGAAACCTCAGCTTTTTGACAACCTCTTCAGCCAAGACTGAATCCCACCTCACAGAAACAGTGGGAAGGAGGAGAACCACACGACAAAGCCTCAGCCTGCCTTTTCCCTTCCCAGGTCTCTGCCTGCCTGGATACAGCTGTACTGAGCCATCATGACTGTCCCTTCATCCAAAGACCTTTAGATGCATCTTATTCCTTACCACGATGGGCTTTGAGGCCCATCCTCTGCTTCCCCAAGATGCTTTGAAGTGTGCTGCAGCCCGTCATGGGGGAGCGCACCATCCCGGGCGTCTGGAGCAGAGATGCTCAGGGGTGTGAGGAGGTGCAATTACGCCTGTGGGAACACTGCTAGCGACACAGCTGGTCTCATTCTGGGTGACAGTGTCATGCATCACGTGTTGCACAGCATCCGTGCAATCCTCACCCTTGTCACTTAGGCTGCTGCACTGTACGGTAACTCCTGTGTTGCTACTGTGCTCCCAGGACAGGCACAGGCTGAGAGTGAGCGGTTTAAAAAGCTAAAGTTCCCAGCAAATTCAGAACTGAGCTGCTTTTCCATTTCTAATGTCTCTAAGTAGCTCAGATTAATGGATTAATGGCTTTCAGGAAAGCAAAATAACACCACGTTGTTATTTTCAGTGTAATGAAAGGAGTCCTCCTAATCCAGGTTGTGAACAAGGTGTGATGAGCAGGAGGGATTTCTCGTATAATAATGACTGGGGGCTGGGCAGTAAATGGAAGAACATGTAATTCTTCCACAAGCTGTGAAACCAAATGATGTAGGGTAAGAAAAACACTGTGGAATAGCAATTATGACTGGGGCACAGGTGTGGAGAAGAAAGAGCAGTTCAGAAGAGAAAGAGCTGTTGGCAAAAAAAGAAAAGCCACAGTGGGTAACATTTTGTGTTTGTGATGAAAAGGACTGTGTGGGCATAAGGAGGGCCAGCCTGGCTGAGCCTGAACCTTTAGGTCTAACTCAGTTGTGAGTACAATCATGAAAGAGGTTCTCCTGAGCTACTTCAGGGAATTTGAGATTCGCAGGGCTGGACCGGTTCAGTAGAGACTCTGCAGTGCTGGTTGGGAGATGAATATTGCTGGGGAGTTTTATCATTACAGAGTACTTTAAACTCTCTAGATATAGATGGTAAAAAATGCTACTAATCATGCAGAGCTCGGATAATTTCTGTATGGGAGATGGCAGATTTCTGCACTGGAGAAACACCAAACTGGCAGGCAGTGAAACTGGTTTAGCTTCCTTGTTGATAAGTAATTTAAGATATTTTAGAAGAACTGTTAGGAGCAAAATTACTTTGGGCTGAATAAAATGCATTCCTTTAATGTAAGCAGAAGTATAAACAAAAATAAGCTTATAATTAAGCCTCTCTACTTCAAGAGGACAAATTAACAAAACAAACCAGTGGAAGATCTCAGGGCCTTTGTGTCTAACCTCCTTTTCTTGTCAATGATGATAATATTATCAGCTAGCTGTAGGCCAAGAGACTTGTAGGAACAGACTTTACACCCAACTCGCTGAAGAGCTACATGAAAAGAGATGCTCAGAATAAACCAACTAGATAGGAGGTGGAGAAAAAAAAACTCAGTGACTTTGTAGCTCAAGGTATATTATTATATATTCCAGCCACAAGATCTTCAGGGATGGGAGCTCATTTCTGTGCTCGATTTGGAACAACCCGGTGCTTGAACATTCCAGCTCACTGGAGACCAATTAGGAGGGGGTCCAGCGTTATCGGTGGCACTTCTCGCCCCCTTGGAGACATGCCCCCCAACACCTTTGTTTGTTTAGTCTAGCTAAATGATAGCTGGGCTGGAAGGTGGTTGCTATGAGATAAATGCCAGGTAGAAGAGCTATTTAATCAAATTATGATGTTGGCACAGGGACAAATGGGTATAACCCAGCCACAAATAAATGCTAGGCTGGATATGAGCACAATCCTAGCCTGGAAAGCTCAGGAGTCTTCCCATCATGGGGTTAAAAGAGATAAAAAAAGCTCCGATAATGCAAAATGGGGCTAGAATAATACAGCTCCTGGTGGGAGGAGGGAGAAATACATTAAATTTCTTACCAATGCTCTTCTGCTGGAGCAACATGAGGAGTTCACTTTCTGCATAGGCAGAAGATATGGGGAGGCAACTCTTTATTTTCCCTGAGACACAATGGTTTAGTTACCCACAGGAAAATGCTTCATGATGAAGGCGACATCTTGTCAGTGGTTAAAATATTGATACACTGCTGCTGGATAAAAAAAATCAATGTATTTGGAGGAGTCTCTAATGACACTTTATGCAGTTCTGTGTATAGATGGCTGTGATACCCTCCTGCACGTGGATTTCCTTGGGATTTAAAAAGCTCACAAAAAACCTCAACAAAAAAGTAATTAATTCCCCTGGATGTTTTGTTCCATATACTGAGCTTTGGAACTACACAGAAACTAGGACATTTTTCTGATGTTTTTTCAGCTGAAGTAATATCCCTGATACATACCAATCTTCCTTCATAATCTTTCCAATATATCATTATATTCCTTTTCATTCTAAGGAATGACAGCTACAAAAGCTATATGATATCTGATAGCTAATCAGCTCTGAGCACTACATTTTTTTGCCCAATCCAATACAAAAGTCTATTTGAGGTTCTCTCACTTTAACCTTATAGAATGAGTTAAGAAAAAATAAAGTATCCTGCTGCCTCTGCACATGACTTCTTACTTATGATGCAATGAAAGATGGGGTTACATCCCACAAGGGAGCAGCAACAACAATCCTGGACAAATATAAACTGGAAGAGATGTGTTTCTAATACAAGGTGTAAGATCATGTTCTGCCCTGGATATTTTAGGGAGGATGCCTCGATGGGGCAACTGCATGCGAGTAATGCTTTGTTACACCATAATTTTGGCAAAGACATTCCAAGAAGTGTCTGCGCACGTCATTGCCCGAGCAGACTTCTGCATTGGTGTCACTGCCCAGTGAAGTCAGCAGGCTTG